GAAACCATGGTGTCCTCCTCAACCAATAAACACCTTGTTGAAAGGGATCCACCTTCAAGAAAGAAATTTTTACCTCAGACAGAGCCAAGGGACATGAAGGAAGAAAGTTCATCGATATCTAAACAAAGAATGCAAAATTTAAAATCTCTGTACAAGCCATCAGAACAATCACAGAGACATGCAATTAAGTCTCAAAATAGCATTCCAAAAGAGAGACTTCTTATTTCAAATGAAAATGAAAGCCCACAATATGAAAAAGCAGATAATTCTTATATACCACATCTTCCAGTAGCTCGAACTATCAGATCTACTAGTTTACCAACTAGTCCTATTCCACTGAGAAAAGAACGCCCTTCTCCACCAAATAAGTTACCTTTACTAATGTTACAAGAATTATCGTCAGACAGTTTGAGGGACTCTAGAATTCCTAAACAGGGTAGGTCAAATGAATCTACTCCAACTTCAGCCCCAAAACTAGTGCATAAATTTTCACCAAACTTAGAAGAAAATACCAGGAAAATTCCTCAGTCAGTGTCACGAGAACACTCATTTGACAGTTTACCAGATTGGACAATAAGTCCTAAGAGGAATGTTTGGAGTGAGCCAAGCTCTCCTTTGTCAACACCACAACTAATAAGGAAAACCTTTAAGCAAATACATGAAAACACAAAAATCCCAATGCCTGTGTACCAGTATTCATCAACAGAGGATCTTGAAGATCTGAGCCCACAAGAATCTCCAAGTAAGCCTCATGAAAAACGTCAGCGAAGTTTAATTCGACCTCCTAGGGCAATGTCTGTAGATAGAGCAATGGATTTTACTTCAAGAAAATATAAAGATGAGAGCCCAATGACTTCAAGAACATCTTCCAGGACTCAAAGTCCTATACCAGTGTCTCCAAGGATTCAGAGCCCTACACAAGATAGAAAGACTTGTACAGCATCTGTAGGAGCTCGAAGCCCAACACTTGGTAGAATGAAAACTTCAATACCAGGAAAAATGTTCAGTGCATCTCAAACTTCTTGCAGAATGAGAAACACCAGTTCACCTCCAAGAAAAAATCTAAATCTTGGATCATCAACAAAGTCTGCATTAAGTCCAGATTCAACACATAAACAAATGCATACTTCAAAATCAGAACAAAAAAAATCACAGAGTCCATCTGCAACTCCAAAAGTTTTGCAGAGTCCAGTTTTGACTTCTAAGAGAGTTCAGAATCCTTCTCCACTAAGTTCTTCATCTGATTCTGTTGATAGCTTCAACAAAACTGGTATGCTCCCAAAAGTTCCTTTTTCTGAATTTTGTCTTTCAAAGGAATCTAGTATTAAAATTCCAAGTCAAAAATCATCATCCCTCCCAGAGTACATATCTGCTTCAGACTCTGAACAGCACTCAAGTTCTATAAGTAGTAGCAGAAAGAAGTCCTCCAAGCACTCCAAAAGTGGTGGCATGAAAAGGGCTGATAGTCTTGAAGAATTTCTACTGCTTGAGAATGAATGCATGGATTAGCTACATGTAGAGGAAGAGGTAAGGCCAGTTATATTTTTGCTTTTTTGCTTGCTTTATTGTTTACAAGTAGATTATACTGTACAGTATTCACATAAGATCTTTCAACTTCCTGTGAATAGAGTGAGATATGTGAAAGCCCTTGAGTTTTCTGAATAATGTATACAAAAGCGATTGTATGTAATTGGTATTTGATTATTAATCAAGAAAGTTCATGAAAAAACTTCTGTATATACTGTACGATAATCACAGCACCTGTTTATGTATTGTTTCTTTGTAATAATGTAAGCCCTGCCCTTTGTCCATATTGTAACAGAACTAAAGTATGTGTCATTACATTACCATTGTATTCCTATGCCTTGCTGTTTTATCATGTCCACATCACTATGTTTTCACATGAATAAATCACCTCAAGAACTATATTTAATTTGACTTAGCTATTTATCTCCTGATATTTTGTACATTTTGTTCCCCAGATTATTTTTTTACAGTTTGAAAAATCAGTGATAAATGTTTTCATCTGACTATGTTTTAATTTATGTACAATAGACAACTACCTTTTGTGTCAGTTAGCTTTCAGAAAAACAGAGCTATATGTGATAACACAATGGGTGGAGTCAACAATTTATGGTAAAAATTGGGTTACATGCCATGACACCTCAAAAAAAAAAAAAAGACATTAAAGGTTTTTTCAATTTGTGCAAGCTATACTAAAAAAAAAAAAAAAAAAAATGAGCTGTGTCATATGTTGTACCAGTATCCAAGAAACATAATATAAATATATAAACTACAGTGAGCACTATTTTATGCCAGATATAAAATATAATGAAAAAGAAGGTTCTCTTTGTTTGATTAGTAACCCAGAATATCCCATGAAAGCTAAGCAGAATGTTTTATTTTGACTGGATTCTTAGGTCCTCTCTCCTCAGGTACAACCCCCATCAGCTTATGTTCTGGATATCTGTTTACTATTAGGCGAACAGGAGCAGCAGGTGTCAAGAGACTTGCCCATTAATCATGTTTTGCCCAGGAGTTAAATCCATACTCTAAGATAGCTATGAGACACCTTATTGTGCTAATGATTTCAGTGTACAGTAGTGTAATGCAAATTAAGATAACAATTTTACTTAGTATAAAATAAATGTGGTATATTAATGTATTAATTCTATTTATACAATACAGTGTAAACAGTGTAAAAACTAAAACTGAATGGTAACATTTTATGTGAAGTGCATTATTATCACAACCATTAATACTTTACTGTAAAAGTGTAAGTAATGACAATAAAATATGACAAACTCCTGTAGTCCATCCAAGTGTGTGGGAATCAAAGATCTGAACTGATTCAGCATTCATTTGAGTAAAAAAATATTTAGCATTTCAGTGTTAGTCAAGGCTGGTCCTATAGTGAATAGGCTGCAAATGCTTATAGACAGCACAGTTAATTTTCAGAACATTTAGCTGGAAAAAATTAAAAGATACGTACCTGAGCAGGTGTCCATTGCTGATGAAACTTATTTGCATTAAATAAAATCCCATAGAAAACTACTTATTCACTGAAAAGAAAAGTAATGAGACTTTAAGATGGCCAGGGAGCACCTTGACCAAATTGTAGGTGGCAATGGAGCTGGTGGTTTAAGCTTAAACCAATGACAGTATATCATTCTGAAGTACAAAGGGCTATGAAGAGCATGAAACCTTATCAGTAATATGGTTCCCAAAACAAGGAATCTTGGACAACAAAGAAACTGTTGGAAGTTTGGTTATTTATCCATTTTCGATCAGTTGTTGCAACATAATGTGAAAAAATCATTGCTCACAAGTTTTGCTTATATTGGATAATTTAACCCTTTCAGGGTCCAGACCCTTGATCTGAAACTTGTCCACAGGGTCCAAGAATTAAAAAAAAATTATTTTCTCTTATGAAATAGTAGAGAATCTTTTTCTGAAGGTAATAAAACAAATTTCAGCAATTTTGCCAACTTTGACTCCAATTTTAGGCCAATTACATTATTCCAGTCAACCAAATTCTTAGCTATTTTGCTAGTATTAATTCTATTTTATTGATGGAGTACAAGAAATTGCCCAGTCAACTAGTTCAACTACCCAATAAAGTGATCGGAAATTGGTAATTTGGGCAATTTCACACAAACTTCAAAATATTCCAGTTTCAAAATAGGGTCCAGAATAAACAATGCAGGCATTCCTGGCACTAAAATAATATTTTCTCCATTTATTAGTTGTTTCCAGGCTTTACAAATGAATTCCACTTTGATTTTTTATTCATATAATGAATTTTTATTCACACCAAAAATAGAAGATTTACTGTTATGCAGTTTTGTAATAATTGTATAAATAATATCAGCGCATTCATGAACGCACATTAGACCCACCAGCTGATGTGTATTGGATGCATGACGTCATTTGTTTACTCTTGAACATCAGCAAAAATCTAACATTTCCACTACTTTGATTTCAGTTTCAAGCCATTTTCATTACTAAAACCAATGAAAATCATCTCTATTTCTGTAATATATGTTCCGTTCTATCAAATGAGACAAAGAAACCTGGAATACAAATGTAAAAAACATACAAAAATACACCACAAAGTCACTGTTTGAATCCAAAAATATGGTCTCAGTTGTTTTTCTCATTATGCACTGCATGCTGCAGGATTTGTTTTATGTGGTGCACACTTACCACATAGATGCTGAGCTCATGGCGTAGAACTACGGCTTGGACCCAGGCTTCAAAGCCGTAGAACTATGGGACGGACCCTCAAAGGGTTAATAAGGCATCTGTTACATTTTATAACCTTGCTGAATATGTTAAGGTTGAGTTTCTTTCCAGGAATACAACACTGCTGATTCAGCCAACAGATCTAAATGTGACAACCTTATGTAAAAGTTATTTGAGCACAGTAATCTCCCAACTCATCAGATAATCTAGATACATAAACCAGTGATCATATATTATGGGAAAAATTATATTTAATTGTGAAAGAAAGTTGTCTATCACAATGAATAAAGCATGGAAAAGTATCTTGCCTGGGTTCAGTGTACAGTAGTTTCAGGAATGAAAAAAAAAACATCAAAGTTTGCAAGACATGAGTCGAAAGACATTGAGGAGGAAGGTATGGGTGAGTTGTTGATAAAGACCTTTCTGATAAGTATTTGATATGTGTGAACTGCACATCAGTTATCAAGGATGCTGATACAGTATTAAACTTGCCTCTCAGGAAGTGACTCTGCAATCATTGTCAGAAAGAATAAATATAAGAGGGTTGTTTGTAGCCTTTGCAAGATGCTTTCTAGACTAATCACGTAAATCTTGACTCATTAAAGGTGTGAAATTTTTTTTTGTGTTGCCAGAAGTTTTACTGAAAGAACAGAAAACCTTTACAAACAAACATAATAATATTTTCTGACACAACTGTTTTTGATCTTAAATGACAGACGAGTTTTAATCTTTGTGGAATTTCCCTGCACATTATACAACCTATACATGGCATTTGGTTTTTACATGACTTTTCAACTAACAAATGGATAGATATTATAATTCAAGAAGTACTGAATTTAAACTTTACACTGTAGCCATCCTTACTTAGACATGGTGAAAGTATGATAATATTATACAGAGACAGTAAAAATTATTTAACTATGCCACTGCATTATAACATTTCACCCTGCAGTATTTGTTTGGTATAAATATGCATCAGTATTTTATGCCAATGAAATTTTTCATAATTTTTCATACAGGTGAACCTACTAAACCAAAATTTACACAAGAAATTGTCAACTCACGAGTACGAGAAATGGAAACCATTACATTTACTGCAACCTTTATTGGTAATCCAAAGCCTGAGATAACTTGGTATCATGATAACAAGCTTATTCGCCAACATGCATCATATCAGGTAATGCATTTATTTGTAATTTTATTTTTTCTATGTTTTAGCACCCAAATTTACTTTACAGTGGAACCTCAGCTTATGAGTGCCCCACTATACAAGTTTTTCAGGATATGAGCAGTCGCTCGGTCGATTTTTTGTTATTGGATATGAGCAAAAATTCATTATCGCAATGTATTCTGTTGTTTTTACTGCTTAAGACTATAACTGCAACAGAAATAATAGTATTTCTTACCTTAAGTTGTGGATGCTGGTGTTTGTGGATGATTGTGAAGAGAGTGGAGAGTTATGTTGTGGTCCTACTGGGCTGAGGTGGATGGTAGAGGTTCTGGTACTGAAGTCGATGATTGTACTGGAGTGTGCATAAATTCTGTAATGAATTTCTGTTCTATTTTTACCCTGCAGTACATTATACAACTGACAGTAAGGCATCAGCTGCTCTAGACACCATTTCAGGGTCCTCTTCAGTGAAAAAGTCTAACTTTAAGTCATTCAGTAAGTGAATCAAGTCAGTAAGTCAGTCAGTTAAGTCATTCAGTCAGTCAGTCAAGTCATTCAGTCAGTCAAGTCATTCAGTCAGTCAGGTCATTCAGTCAGTCAGTCAAGTCATTCAGTCAGTCAAGTCATTCAGTCAGTCAGGTCATTCAGTCAGTCAGTCAAGTCATTCAGTCAGTCAGGTCATTCAGTCAGTCAGTAAGTCATTCAGTCAAGTCAGTAAGTTATTCAGTAAGTCAGTCATTCAGTAAGTCAGATGCTGTGCCCAGCATCTCTTCTCCACCATCAACTGCCAACATTTCTTCTCCAAGGTAAATGCTGTAGTATGTACTACACAATTTCTTTACATTATTTTCCTTATGAAACTATGTAGTGATCTAATGCAGTTTGCCTCACGAACACTCAGTTTTCTGTTATAATAAGAGCATGGGAAGGTATGTAGTCAGGAGCAGGAATGGCCACTGCAGTGGCCCTATAGACTCCAACAATAACAATGGTTGCTGTGCCGCCTCTGCCACCACCACTAGCCACATACATAATTACAAAGTATTTTATTCATTCTAGTGTATATATCATGTTTCTATGTTATTAGAAACATAACTTAAAGGAGGAAAATTGACTCAACATACGAGCAAATCAGGATACGAGCAAGGTCATGGAACGGATTAAACTCGTAAGCCAGGGTTCCACTGTATTTGATTAAAAATGTTTTAGCATAAAATTTATTTTATATGTGAGCAAAGTAACATTTATGAAGGGATTCAGGGAAACCGGCAGGCCGGACTTGAGTCCTGGAGATGGGAAGTACAGTGCCTGCACTCTGAAGGAGGGGTGTTAATGTTGCAGTTTAAAAACTGTAGTGTAAAGCACCCTTCTGGCAAGACAGTGATGGAGTGAATGATGGTGAAAGTTTTTCTTTTTCGGGCCACCCTGCCTTGGTGGGAATCGGCCAGTGTGATAATAAAAAAAAAATAATAATGTCTGAAAAATGTTTTTATATGTTAAATTGTATACTGTACACATTTTTGTTTCCAAGAACTATGGATGGAAGGAGTTGTAGGAGAAAAATCAGGAGAGTTGAGAAAAAGGTGTGAAGGAGGTTTAAAAAGTTAAAAGGCTTTACTGTCCAGCAAGCATGATTAAGCATGTGAGAGTGGAGGAAATTGATGCTTGGGATATAACATGTTCTTGTAGTGTGATGGTAATATCTTTGATAGATGCAGGGAAAGCAGTTAGCTGTGCTTGAGTGTTATAGGTGGGAAGCACATTACAGTCCCTGCTCTTTAACACTATAGTTTAGTGGGTCATTGCACTGTGGTGTCCTTGTACATTTGGAAAGAATTAGGGAGTGAGTGAGTGAAAAGTAAGGGCTATGACTCAGTTTCAGAAGCTTCCAAATAAGTAAAAATTCTGAAATTCTGTTCAAATCTGAAGAAATTAATTGACAATTTTTTTTTATAAAAGAATGCCTTCCAAAATGTTGAATACTAAGTGAGCTCTAAAATTTAAATATGTCAAAGAATGAAAAATAAGTTTATTCTGTAATTTACCCCACCTGCATATGAATTATTTTGAATAAGTGCTGTATTTCCAGCAAGCGTGTGTGAGCGTGTTAGATAGGAGTGAATGGAGACAAATGGTTTTTGGGACCTGACGAGCTGTTGGAGTGTGAACAGGGTAATATTTTGTGAAGGGATTCAGGGAAACTGGTTAGTCAGACTTGAGTCCTGGAAATGGAAAGTACAGTGCCTGCACTTTAACCCGTTCACTGTCCAAACGTAGATCTACGTTCTTACCGCTAGTGCTCCAAACGTAGATCTACGTTTTATTTTTCCTGCCTCCTAAATTTGGCATGATTGGCCTAAGATGCCTGGTCAGCATAGAATGGGTCTTAACCCTCTGTGTGCACAGTATTAAAAAAATCTGTGACCACTTAGCACCTTGTGGGAGCACCAGTTCAATTGAGTGCCAGTTAGAGCAAACAACATGGCAAACACCAAGGATTCACTGATGTGATATCTGATTAACACTCCCCTTTCAAGAGGAAAGTGTCATCCCACCAGAATGTCCTATAACCTATGTCCTAAGTAAAAAGAAACAATTCTGGAACTGTAATTTCAGCAGGCTGGCTGGCCAGTTGGCTAGCCGGTGGCTGGCTGGCTGGCTGGCAGCTGGCTGATTGGCTGTCTCTATCTCCATCTGTCTGTCTGTCTGCATCTATCTCTGTCTCTTTGTCTCTATCTCTGTCTCACAGGAACACATACGTAAATACAATTATACAGTGTAAATTATGTAGGATAACCCAAAAAATCCAGACAGATTGCTATACTGTGCTTGTAGATAGTGATTGTGTGTAATACCAGTTGGCTCATGAGCTCTGAGACAAGAAAGAAAAGCTAACAGAAACACACAGGCAGACAGAAAGACAGACACACAGACAGAGAGCTAGACAGACATAGAGCTAGACAGACAGACAGAGAGCTGAACAGATAGACAGAGCTAGACAGATGGACAGAGAGCTAGACAGATATAGACAGAGAGCTCAACAGACAGACACGTTTGTGTGTAACAGTGAAAACAAATAAAGCGAAGGCTCATCAAGTGTCACCACTGTCATTAGTGGAGTGATAAGATAAGATGACGCTCATCAAATGTCACCACTGTCGTTAGTGGGATGATAAGACAACGCTCATCAAATGTCACCATTATCAGCAGTGGAGTGATAAGATAAGAGAGTGACACTTACATGATGCCTCAAGGGAAATTATTATTATTATTATTATTATTATTATTATTATTATTATTATTATATTATTATTATTATTATATACTTCCATGTATCCAAAACATTGCTGGGCCTATAAATACAGTGTATATATTTCTAGACAATAGTATGTGACTAAGGTAAGTGAAAATGTTCACCTGTCACTGTGTTTGTGACTGTTTGAGTACTATTTCAGTGCCTAATATTAGTATCAGAACAAAGATTGGCTATCAGATCACAAGAACTACTATAAATAGTAATTATCAGATCATAAAAATTATATAAAATAATATAAAAATGAGAAAAAAAGGTATATCAGCAACACTTCTGCAAGTGGCAGGAATCCATGTTGCCATCAGATGAACATCAAGGGCCAACTTCACAGGCTCATATCTCAGTAAGTACTGACCCTAAAATTTTTTTTTCCTATGACACATAGAAAAATGCACTCTTTATTTCTATAAAAAAAAAAAAAAACGATTTTTTGTTTTTCGAAATATTTGGAGCACTGGGCAAGAGAACGTAGATCTACGTTTGGACAGTTAATGGGTTAAAGGAGAGGTTTGGGATATTGGTATTTTGGAAGGACATATAAACTGTTGTATCTGAGTGCCTCTGCAAAGACAGTGATTATGTATGAGTGATGGTGAAAGTGTTGAATGACAATGAAAGTTTTTTCTTTCTTTTTAGGTCACCCTGCCTCAGTGGGAAACAGCCAATGTGTTAAAAAAAAAAAATCTATTTTACAGCTCTGCAGAATTTAAAGAGGAATCTGGAGAGCCCTAGAACCTCATATGAGACAGTGTGTTATGACCAGTGGTTAGCATGTGAGGCAGGGACTCTGCAGCTCTGATTTGAATCTCTCTTTTATATAGTATTCCAGAGAATATCTAAAATAGTTTTTCTCATTTTTTCTTCCCTTTGTTTGGTAATAAATTATATTTACTTAAAGCTTTTAACATTTTACAGATGAGAGTTCGCAATGACAAGGCAATTCTAACCATTGTCCAAGCCAGACCTGAAGTCAAGGGAGAGTACTCATGTCGTGCTGTCAATTCTGTTGGTGAAGCATTCACTAGAGCTCGGTTGGAAGTCATTGGTAAGTGAACCACTTTGTATACTGTATACCCCATCAAACTCTGCTAAACCATCGAGGGCTTGCTTTTCAGAAGAATGAAAATAAGTGTATTCAGAGGTTACAGTATCACTTTAGAGGTGTTTGACTGTAATAGGATAGGGAAAGGAAGAATGGCATGTAGTCTCAACTTATCATTAGAGATATTAATCCCAGGTGTATTGCTTAGTTAAGTCTTTTTCCCAAATAATTATGAAATTAAAACAGTTGAAATGAATAATTTAATATCACTTACTAAAAATACTAAATGTTAAAAATTAATAATTAAAGATATGAAAGATATCGAATGGTTTTTGGGACCTGATGAGCTGTTGGAGTGTGAGCAGGGTAATATTTTGTGAAGGGATTCAGGAAAACCAGTTAGCCTGACTTGAGTCCTGGAGGTGGGAAGTACAGTGCCTTCACTTTAAAGGAGGGGTTTAGGATATTGGCTGTTTGGAGTGACTATCTAAACTGTCGTATCTGAGTGCCTCTTCAAAGACAGTGATTATGTATGAATGATGGTGAAAGTGTTGAATGATGATGAAAAGCTTTTTCTTTCTTTTTGGGTTTTTCTTTCTTATTGGGTCATCCTGCCTCAGTGGGAAATGGCTGACGTGTTAAGAAAAGAAAAGTAGTAGTATAAGTGAGGATGATGTTGGAGTAGCACAAGGAGGCAAGTTAGTTGAGATGATTTGGTTATGTTGAATATGGGGGATTGTAAAGAATGAAAAAGATATATGATACTGCTATAGAGGGCTAGAAGCAGTCAGTGCAAAAGATGGGAAGTACAATATTAGTAATTGCCAGTGGTGGGCACAGCTAACCAAAAAGTTAGCTTCGCTAACTGCTAATCCGCTAACTAAAAAATTAGCTCCGCTAACGCTAAACCGCTAAATGGCCAAAAAAATTAGCAGAAGCTAATGCTAAACGCTACCCGCTAAGTTTTTCACTTGAATTCAGATTCGGTTTAGTTTTTTGTCCTTCACTTTTAATTTTAAGAATTTTAGAACAGGCCTGGAGAGCTTCCTAATAAGATATAGAATGTCAAGGTCATATGATGATCAAGGTCGCTAGTACGAAAATAGCGATTGTTTAATTTTGTGATGTAACATGCACGACCGACAAGGACACACTTGTTGCTGTACTGAAGCCCCATAGCACCCAAACAAACTGAGTTAGCTTATTTGACTTTTCTTCGTTAGTTCCAGTTATTACAAACAAGTAGTTGATAATCGTGCTTAAAGTTGAAACCCTGAAGCCACCTTATCACTGCACCAGCGATACAGCCATACAGGTGCACACAAATAGTTCTATGAACAAATGAAATCAAACATCAGTTTAAATCCAACATACACTTTATTTACTGTACAAAATGCATAGCATGGCTATCATGCCAAGATCACATGATGGCTGGGCTGATTGTTACTCAGGCTGGGCCTGCTCCATTGCTTTGATGTGATGCTGGTTGCCCTTCATGAGCATCAGCCTCTCAGAGTTTCCATCTGACAGGGTGGCTTTCTTGGCCCTCAAGATATCTTTGCCTAGAGAGAATAGGCGCTCAACTGCAGCACTGGATAGGATGGCGGTGTTGTACTTAATGCTTCAACCACAGCCGCTGCAGACTCCTCAACAACACCCTCAGGTGGAACAGAAACGTCTCCCCTGTTCATAATGATAAGTGACAAAGCACCCTGGTGATCGATGATACTGTAAGACTATAACAGTGCTGCTCAGATGCTCCTGCTGCTGTGTTGACAAGTCACGTTTACACGTAGTCAGCCAATAGCATGCTTGACTGACTGTTGGAGAAATGCCCACAACAGACAGAAACAAACATGTGCACCATTGAAAAGGCATTGCTTTCTGACTACCAACACCATGTGGACTTTTTTTAGTGGACTCGAAGTTAGCGGAACTTTATTTAGCGGAAGCTAATCGGTCCGCTAACGGTTTCTGAAGTTAGCGGAAACGCTAATCCGCTAAACAAAAAGTTAGTTCTGTGCCCACCACTGGTAATTGATTCATTTATTCAGAACAAGCATATGCATGCAATAAATAGTCCCCCATATCCACAGGGGACTATGTTCCAAGACCTACCATGGATACCTGATAGTAGCAAACCCTATATATGTCATTTTTCGTTTAAATGCATACCTATGATAGAGTTTAATTGATAAATTACACACAATAAGTAAACAATTATCACTTTTTGAATGATGGGAAGCACTTCACGACTTTTCTTAGGCTTTGAAAAACTGCCATCATCACTACTTTTGTGCTCTGGTCTCATCATTAAGCAAAATTAGGCTTATTTTCCGGCCATGGTAAACCATGGATAACTGAAACCATGAAAACCAAATCAGTGGATACGGGGGTTCTACTGTACTGCAGATTTACAAATTTGTCTAGTAAGGTAATATACAAAAGATTTTATATGTATAAACTTAATTTTTTCTTGGATTTTCACTCCTCAGAGCTAACGTATGAAGAAAAGATGAAGATATCTGATGAAAGATATGCAGCTGTTCAAATTCAACATGCAGCAGAGCACATGAAAGAAAAAGAAAGAGAACGTGCAGAGAAGCAGAGGCAGGAACACCAAGAAGCTATGAAGAGGCTTAAACAAGAAAAAGTGGAGCGTTCACAGCAAATAGAAAAAGAGCTAGAAGAAGCTAGGAAGAATGTTTGGAGGCCAAAGATTGAAGAAAAGAAAGTAAAGGTCTTTAAAACTCCCAAAGATCGGCGAGTTGCTGAAGTATACACAAACTGGAAATCTCCCATTGCCCTTGAAGAAAATTATCCAGAAATTCAGCCAAGTGAATTTGCACCAAACCAAATCCCTGGTGTCAAGTGCTTTGTCAAGGTTTCAGAAACTTCTGTTAAGGGTGAGGAAGTTGTCCGAGAGGTTGCACCTCAGTTCTTTGAAGATGAGCAAGTTATCCATGAATTGGCTAAAGTTCATACAATGTTGAAGAATAATGTTAGGGTTAATGAGATTTGGTCAATGTTCCGAGCTGGTGAGTTCAAAGCTCTTCAGCAGCCTAGCATTCAAACTGCTCTTGTTAAGATCTGTGAACATATTGGCCACCAAAGAAATGTTTCTATTGTACTGGCACAAGAAACTCAGGAACAGGCTGCAAAGCATCCTGTTGGTCTCAAGGCTTTCCTACGTATGGTCAAGCATGCTAAAAATATCAAACCAGAAACTCTCTTCAAGGAAGTTATTCCAAGGGAGATGGGCAAGTTCTCTTCAACTACTCAGGAGCTGACCAAGGTTTCTCAGATGATAAACCAAGGAATCGAAACAGAGGAGATTATTGCATGCTGTCAAGCTGGAAAGCTACCAGCACTGAAGAAGCCAGAGACCCAACAACCTCTTATCAACATTGTGGAGAAACATGGCCACTCAGTCATGGTTGCACAGGTGTTGGTAGAGGAGGCTTACCGTGATGCAAAGGAAGGTAAGAAATGGATAGATATTCTAGGGTCATTTGTGTATATGAAGCTCTGCAGTAATTAGTGTTATTTTACATGAGTATGCAGCAGTAAATAGATGAGTTTAGACATTAACTCTCTCTCTCTTGCTAAGACTTAAGGAGAGATTTAAAAGAAAATACTGTACATAAAAAAGGAACATTAATTTCATGATTAATTTACTGTTAAAAATTAAATCATACAATTCACACTGTGTCAGAATAACACTAAGTATAATTTCTTGATTGTCTTCCAGTTATTTTACAGATATTTTACAAATCAGTTTCAATAACATTTTCTTAAGATTTGCAATACAAAGCTTACAAAATTGGGTTATCATTAGAATTCTGACAGTGAAACAGATAAATAAAATTTATAACCTAGTATCTTGAGTACAATTTATAGTTTTCATACATCTCAGAAATAGACATGTACAATATGTAGCTAAGTTAATGTTAGTTAGAAACAGTACTGTATTTGTGAACATTAGCATAGAGAGTAGAGTGATAGTAGTGTATTGAGTTAACAAGAACAAAGGGAGTGTGTAGGTTATTGTAGAGTTAACGTTTGATGGGCTATGCATGCATCGTCCCAACAGAGAGAGTGTTGGCAGAGAGAGCATGGGAAGTGGTACATGAGCAGGAGATGGAAATGGCTCAGGTATCCGAGATCAAGACAGGTAAGCCAGGACCACTTAAACTGTTAAAGCTTTCCTCTTACATCTTCAGTGAGTTTAAGTATCAGTGCATTCAGTTCCTGATTATCTAGTGATCCTATCATGTTTTTTAACTTAAAGCATGTAATGGATGAATTCCTAGAGGGTGTTCCAGTGGTCAAATGCCCCCATGGGCTGATCCATGACCAGGCTTCATGGTGGATAAGGGCCTGATCAACCAGACTCTTACTGCTGGCCACATGAAATCCAGCATATGAATGAAGACTTACGACATTAAAATTTAATTAGGAAAGGCATTTGCATATCTTACTATCTGAGGGGATACTCAAAGCACAAATGATTGGGCTTTGGCTGATAGTAGTCAAATTACCAATGCCCAAAATGCAAACTTAATTTAGTGAAATTTTAATATAAAAATTACGAATCTTGCTTTTTCTTTCAGTCTTGCTTTGTAAAAGTGAGTAGACACTAAAATGGGAAGTAAGAATTATAATTTTTATCTCTGTTGCCATTGGTATAACTTTTGAATCCATGAAGAACAAAAAGGCACAATTCGGTGACTGGAACAATATACAAATAACCTCCACACAGGAGAAAGAAGCTTCTCCTTTGTGTGGGTTAATTATGTATTTTGTTTTGAATGTATCACTAAAGGTAAGTTACCTTCTCATTAATTAATATTTATATATCTATGTTTTGTGCATAAATATATGGATATTCTGAAAATCATTACTGGTACTAGATTTAAAGAATAAAACTACTAAAATATACAGTGGGATAATAAGGAAGGAGATAACCAGGAACTGAGTGTTCTTCCAATAATCTGAACTTGATTACATAGCACTAACTGCTTCACATTTTCCTAAGAGTATCTTGGCTTTAACTTATTTCTAAAAAAAAATTTTAAAGAACACTGCATGGAACACCATTAATGGTATTTCATTCTTTGGTTTAATTATTTTTATTCTTTATTCATTTTAACATTAAAATACATGCTGTACCATGACAATAGAAATTATCTTTTCAGAACATTTACTACACTTACTGTATCAAAAAATCCATAGCATCATACACATATAAATCTGAAATTGTGCTGTACAGCAGGCTACTTTATATATTAGTAATGACCAACTTTATGTGCATTTTATGCATAATTTTGAGGGTACAGGTTATTTTCAGCATACCTTGCTTTTGTTACTCAATTTTTGTTTCCAAATATTATTAACTGGTAAATTTTAGCTCATAAACACATAAATTATTTAAAATAATTTATGTGGTGAAATATGGTATTGTTAAACAACAAAAAAAGGCACAATACCGTGACTGGAATGATACACAAATAACCCGCACATAGAAGAGAGGAGCTTACGACGACGTTTCGGTCCAACTTGGACCATTTACAAAGTCACACTAATGATCAGTAGAGCAGGATGGGTATATATATGTATAGGCAGGAAGAGGTGGTGGTGGTGGTGGTGGTGGTGGTGGTGTAGTAGTAGTAGTAGTAGTAGTAGTAGTAGTAGTAGTAGTAGTAGTAGTAGTGGTAGTAGCAGTAGTGGTGGTGGTAGTAGTAGTAGTGGTAGTAGTAGTAGTGGTGGTGGTGGTAGTAGTAGTAGTAGTGGTAGTAGTAGTAATGCTAGTAGTGGTAGTAGAAGTAGTGGTAGTAGTAGTGGTGGTAGTAGTAGTGGGTAGTAGTAGTGGTAGTAGTAGTGGTAGTAGTAGCAGTGGTAGTAGTGGTAGTAGTAGTGGTGGTAGTAGTGGTAGTATTGGTGGTAGTAGTAGAAGTGGTAGTAGTGGTAGTAGTAGTGGTAGTAGTAGTGGTAGTAGTAGTGGTGGTAGTAGTGGTGGTAGTAGTAGTAGTAGTATTGGTAGTAGTAGTGGTGGTGGTAGTAGTGGTAGTAGTGGTGGTAGTAGTGGTGGTAGTAGTGGTAGTAGTAGTGGTAGTAGTAGCAGTGGTGGTAGTAGTAGTGGTAGTAGTAGCAGTGGTAGTAGTGGTAGTAGTAGTGGTGGTAGTAGTGGTAGTATTGGTGGTAGTAGTAGTAGTAGAAGTGGTAGTAGTGGCAGTAGTAGTGGTAGTAGAAGTGGTAGTAGTAGTGGTGGTAGTAGTGGTAGTAGTGGTGGTAGTAGTAGTAGTATTGGTAGTAGTAGTGGTGGTGGTAGTAGTAGTGGTAGTGTAGTGGTGGTAGTAGTGGTGTAGTGAGTGGTGGTAGTAGTGGTAGTAGTAGTGGTAGTAGTAGTGGTAGATGGTGGTAGTAATAGTAGTAGTAGCAGTGGTAGTGGTAGTAGTAGTAGTGGGGAATAAGGAGGACGAGCCAGTCAAATACAAGGAAAGGGGAGCACTGCAAGGAAGCTAGGTGCCCACAGAGGGAGAGCAAGTACACAGAGGTAGGGAAGAAGGGGAAGTGATGAAATGAATAATGAAGGAGCAGAAACACAAAACACAAGAAAGACAACCCAGAGGAGAAAAAGGGAAAGAGGAAAGGGGAAGAGGGAGAAGAAAAAAGGAGGAGGAATCAGGTTAAGTCACGGGTGTTCTGAAGTTTGGAGCATTTTACAATGTAGTGGGAGAGGAAGGCATCTACAGAGACAAAGCCGGTCCAAATTGGACCGAAACGTCGTTGTAAGCTCCTCTCTTCTATGTGCGGGTTATTTGTGTATGGTATTGTTAATTAAATTCACTATGTAGTAGATATTTACTTTTTTATTTGTCTAAATACTGAACCATTATAATTCATGCCTGTTTCTGTGCACAAAATATTTTAAGGTTATTGTTTTAGCTTCAACTTTTATAGAAAATCAAGTGTAATGGAACAAAAGCATCTGTACCCAGTTCATATCTTTAAAAGTACAGAACTTTAAGTTATCTGTCTTGTTCATTATGCTTATACAGTACATGCACTGTATTTAGTATACAGTATATCAGCTGTAGTTATAAAATCAAACATATAAATTCTTACATGAATTTTACTTTATTTCTATTAATATTATTTCTGTTTTCTAACTTCCATTATTGACTGGAAAAAATTATTATTTATTGACATTTATTCACCACAGCTTGAAATTTATACTGCACAGGACATTTATATATACATGTATATATATATATATATACAATATTAAATATTTAATTATTTCCATTTATTTGAAGATTTTTTTTTTTCAGTTTTAAAGGGTATTTTTTTCAGGATTTATTTTCATGTCACATGTACAGTACACTAATATTCTTAGGTTGTTGACACATTACTGTGGTACAATATTATACACTACAAAACACAGTTCATATATAAAGGCACACTTAATATATTCTTGAAGCTCAGACTGCAGAAAATATTAAAAACCTGTAAGTGTTACAGCAGAAAAAGGTGGACTACTGTGAGCATAAACTTTTTTCATTTAACTACAGATAAGTAATTTATAAACACAAACACATGTATATATACATGCAAATGCACACATATATACAAAGCTACAGAATATGCAAAAAAAAAAAAATCAGATTGCAGGTTAGCAGTAGCTTCTAAGCAAAATCATCCAAACAAAGATATAGCTTGTACTTTAGTGATGTTCTAGTAGGAAAAACATCTTATTTCTGAAGAAACTACAGTTAAACCAACTCAGGTAGATTTTCACTGTAAACCCTTACATGTTTCAGAAGGAACAATACCAAAACAAATATGTGTTTCAGAAAAAAATATACTACAACATCTACAGCAGAAACTAAACCAAAACAAATACATAGTATTTCAGAAAAAACTAACTCATACACGTTTCATAAAAACTAAACCAGAACAAATATACATGTATGTTCTAGAAGAAACTGAATTAAAACAAATGCATGTCCCAGAAAAAAACTTAACCAAGACAAATACCTGTTCCAGGAGAAACCAAACCAAAATAAACATGTTTTGGAAGACATTAACCAAAACAAATACATTTGCCATAAGAAGTTAAACCACAACAAGTACATGTCCAAGAAAAATTACACCAAAATAGATATATGTACATATGTCCCAGAAAAAACTAAACCCAAACAAATACACTTTCTAGAAGAAATTAAACTAAAACCACCTGCAAGAGAATGTAAATTAACACCAGTACAGGTTCCAGAATCAACTATACAGGCAGGCCTCGCTTATACAGCAGGCCATGTCTGAAGCTACTGCTGCAAATAAAAGCCTGATGGATGACATGTTTACACAATCATATATTAAGTGAGTAATAGAGCTAGGCCTTAAAAATCATATACAGTACACAAACTACTTACCTTAAAATATTTTCCTACTTAGCTTATAGTGAGTGGTAAATAGTATATTTATTGTAAGAAGCCTCAATAAATGAAGACTTGAGTGCAATTAAAGACTGCTGAATTAGCAAAACGCTGTAAAGCGAAGTGTTGTAAAGCGGGGCCAGCCTATATCAACACTAGCTCCAGCAGAACATGAACCAAAACTCACACAAATTCAAGAAGAAACTAAGCTAGCATTAGTTCTAACAGAATATTAACCAGATTCAATCATTGCATAAGAAAAATAAAACTGATACCATTTTCTTCAGAATTTACATCAAAACCAGTACAGACTTCAACAGATTTTAAATCAAAGCCAAGATACAATTTAGAAAACACTGCATTAACACCAGCTCCAGCAGAATTAAAACGAAAACTATTTCGAGAAAAATTGAACTAATATCAGCTTTAGAAAAATTTAAACCCAAATATATACAGGTTCTAAAAGACCCCAAAATAACATTAAATTCAGCAGAATTTAACCCTTTCAGGGTCCGTGCCACAGATCTATGGCTTTACGTTGAGGGTCCAAACCGTAGATCTACGCCATGAGCTCAGCTCATTCTGATAAGCTGTGAGCAGTAAATTTGGGCCTAGATATGAGAGAATACACCTATGTGGTATGTGTGCACCACCTAAAACAAATTTTGCAGCACACTGTGCATAATGAGAGAAAAAAAACTGAGACCATAATTTTCGATTAAACCAGCAACTTTGCAGTGTTTTTTTTTTGTATGTTTATTGTAGTTGTATTTGCAATTTCTTGGTCTCATTTGATAGAATGGAGATATATTACAGAAATAGAGATTATTTTGATTGGTTTTAATACTGGAAATGGCTTGAAACTGAGCTCAAAGTGGCGGAAATGTTAAATTTTTGCTGACGTTCAAGAGTAAACAAATGGCCTCACATGTCTAATACACGCCAGCTGGTGAGTCTAATATATGTTCACAAATGTACTGATACTATTTATGCATGGCAGCAAATCGTCTATTTTTTGGTTTGAATAAAAATTCATTATGCGAATTAAAAATCAAAATGGAATTCATTTGTAAAGCCTGAAAATGTAACTAATGAACAGAAGAAATGTTAGTTTAGTGCCAGGAATGCCTGCATTGTTTATTCTGGGCCCTATTTTGAAATTGGAATATTTTGAACTTTGCACTAAATTGGCCAAATTACCAATTTCCAATCACTTTATTTTGTAGGTGAAACAGATGAGTTGGCAATTTCTTGTGCTCAATCGATAGAAGTAATACTAGTGAAATAGCTAAGAATTTGGTCGACTGGAATAAGGTAATTGGCTTAAAATGGGAGTCAAAGTTGGCAAAATTGCCAATGTGTAAATGTCGCTGACAGATCAAAATTCACGAAAGCATAATTTCGTCAATTTTCCATCAAATTTCGTACTTTTTGTTTTATTACCTTCAGAAAAAGATTCTGTACCATTTCATAAGAAAAGACACCAAAGTTATTTTTTGAAAATTCTTGGATACTGGTGTGCACTTCGAAATTTAGCCTCTGGACCCTGAAAGGGTTAAACCAAGACTGGTATGAACTCTTAAATCCAGCAATAACTGAATTTAAACAAAAGCTCACACATGTTTCAAAATTTACTAAACCAACACCAGTTCATAGATCTTTACTGAAGCTCTCACATGTTCCAGAAGAAAGTAAACCAATACCAGCTTCAACTGATTTTAAATCAAAACCAGTAAATGTTCCAGGTGAAACTAAATTATCACCTACTCTAGTAGAAATAAAACATTGTCAATAAAGGATTGCATTATGCTGCATTTGTGTCTTTACTCATCATGTTGGTATTTTACTCCATTTTCCTTAAAAACAAACACCTATTCACATAAGACAGAACCTCGGTTTTCGTGATTAATTCGTCCCAGAAAGTCTGACGAAAACCAAATTGTGTGAAAACTGAAGCAATATTTCCGATAAGAAATAATGTAAATTCAATTAATTCGTTCCAGACACCTAAAAATATTAACAAAAAATACATTTTATGAAGGATGAGGTTAATCATAGAATTGATGAGGGAAAAAAGGTGAGTGGTGCGTTGAGGTATATGTGGAGACAAAAAACGTTATCTATGGAGGCAAAGAAGGGAATGTATGAAAGTATAGTACTACCAACACTCTTATATGGGTGTGAAGCTTGGGTTGTATATGCTGCAGCGAGGAGGCGGTTGGAGGCAGTGATGTCCTGAATAAGGGCAATGTGTGGTGTAAATATTATGCAGAAACTTCAGAGTGTGGAAATTAGGAAAAGGTGTGGAGTTAATAAAAGTATTAGTCAGAGGGCAGAAGAGGGGTTGTTGAGGTGGTTTGGTCATTTAGAGAGAATGGATCAAAGTAGAATGACATGGAGAGCATTTAAATCTGTAGGGGAAGGAAGGTGGAGTAGGGGTCGTCCTCAAAAAGGTTGGAAGGAAGGGGTAAAGGAGGTTTTGTGGGCGAGGAGCTTGGACTTCCAGCAGGTGTGCGTGAGCGCGTTCGATAGGAGCGAATGGAGACAAATGGTATTTGGGGCCTGACGATCTGTTGGAGTGTGACCAGGGTAATATTTAGTGAAGGGATTCAGGGAAACCGGTTATTTTTATATAGCTGGACTTGAGTCCTGGAAAAGGGAAGTACAATGCCTGCACTCTAAAGGAGGGGTTCGGGATATTGGCAGTTTGGAGGGATATGTTGTGTATCTTTATACATATATGCTTCTAAGCTGTTGTGTTCTGGGCACCTCTGCAAAAACAGTGATTATGTGTGAGTGAGGTGAAAGAGTTGAATGATGATGAAAGTATTTTCTTTTTGGGGATTTTCTTTCTTTTTGGGTCACCCTGCCTCGGTGGGAGATGGCCGACTTGTTAAAAAAAAAAAAATTTATAGAGAATAACTATAGTTTTACATACAGAAAAAATGAGAAATAAATACAAGTGACTAATGAAATGGATAAATGAACATTTAACATCACTTTTACCTTAATTGAAGACTTGTTGGCGTATGGAAGATGGTGAGGAGGGGAGAGAGAGGAGAGGTTATTGTTTGGAAGGGAAATCCCCCTCCATAAGGACTTTGGGTATCAAGGCCCTATTGGGAGTTACTTCCCTTCTTTGTCTTTTACTGGCACTAGGACCAGCTTGAGAGTCACTGGACCCCTGTTGCACAAAAAAATTGTTCAGAGAGGTCTGTTTCTGGCGTCTCTAAGATTTGACTAAAATGGGACAAGGCATTGCCATTGAACATTGATACAGACTTTCTGTACATCCTGGTGGGATCGGCGGCCATGTGTATGCCACTTTCTTACTTTGCTATGAGTTCTTTCTTGAATTCTATCATGTTTCTCACCTTCTTTATCAGAGTGGAACTTTCTTTGGCCCCATGGCGGTTTATTTAGTAGTCACACTCAATGAACAAGCACAAAAACAATGGATTATTGCGAAATGTTTCAGATGAACACGCAGGGCAATGCTCACTCAGCAAGAAACAAAGCCAGACTGAGTCAGAACATGTGGGATGCTTTGTGTGGGCGTGGGCAGTGGACGCTTTTGGTACGGTGGACCATTGTCAACTCTAGGAAAACCGAGCGGACGTACAAAAACTGGGACAAAATTTCGTTTAAAAAAGTTGTTGAAAACAGAATCCTGTGAAAACCAGGGCATACGAAAACTGAGGTTCCACTGTATTAAAGCTTTCTCAGACAGACTGTAAATCAGATTTAGCCTCAGCAGCAAAATAAGTTTCATAATCCACTTCAGATAGACTTACAGTAGCTTGGGCCAAAACAATTCATTTACCTCCATTGGAATCAAAGAGTGCACTTCAACCAGCTGCAGAAAAGCAAGCATATATGTTTGACAAAACAATGCCTACAGTAGAACCTTGGTTTTTGTTTGCCCTAGTTTTCAACAACTTTTTTCATCAAAATTTTGTCCCAGTTTTTGTTCATCATCTCAGTTTTCGTTGAGTTGGCAGGTGGCCCGGTGGCCTGATGGCTAAAGCTCTCGCTTCACACACGGAGGGCCCGGGTTTGATTCCCGGCGGGTGGAAACATATCAACGCGTTTCCTTACACCTGTTGTTCCATTCACCTAGCAGCAAATAGGTACCTGGGTGTTAGCTGACTGGTGTGAGTTGCATCCTGGGGGACAAGATTGAGAACCCCAATGGAAATAAATTAGACAGTCCTCAATGATGCACTGACTTTCTTGGGTTATCATGGGTGGCTAACCCTCTGGGGTTAAAACTCCGAACGAAATTTTATCT